AACAATAAAACTAAATTAATATCCTTAACTCAGATCGTTTCTCAAATTTGTTCTCATTATCAAGAAATTTATGTCCAAAAGAATTTAACAGTTTTCGGCAAGATAATAGTTGCTTAAAATCGATCAACATTTCTTACTGTCAACGACATTTTCGTATGTAAATGCTCGAGGACGTATATCTGTTTTATTTTGTGTTATTCGATTGATCTTTACATTCTTTCGTAAAACAAAGTAAATAATTCTGTTTCCAATACGACAATTCCCAGTTTTATACCATGTTTCTCTACGGAGACAGAGGTCTCACGAGTTCTCAAGTGTTTTATAGCAGGAGCAATGTCTCAGGTTAATAAAAACGATATATCTTCATAGGAAAACACGGCGTAAAGCTGGGAGATGTCTATATAGCGGGATTTCACCGGTCACAACTTTTGTATAAAGAAAGGTTTTGGTTATTCTTTAGAGTTTCTGAAAGACTGGTTTTCCAGAAAACGAGTCTCTCAGGTAAAAAATTAAAAAACTAAATCTGTAACTTTGTTCTATGTTTCAAGGCGGTTCGAATGGCGTAAAAATGAAGGTTCTATCGTTTGATATGAGGTCGCAGATAGGTTTGCAATCGGAGGGTGTCAAAATCAAAGACCTCTAAAGTTTGACCAAAGTTCGAACACTTCTCCTTGCTCTGAAACCTCAAAATACACTTCTCTATGCGCACTTTGATCCGCTGATTCATGTTTTCATTTTACTATGGCAGTATCACTAGCTTCATTTATATTAGAATTCATGTAAAAACTATCATAGTTTTGCTACAAAAAAAAATACGTCCGTTTGCTAGGAATTTGTTGCCATTCGACAGTTCTACTTTTCCACAGTCAGTTTTTAACACTGTCGGATTTTTCGCTTTTTCGAAAGCCTGACGAATTTCGAGCGAAAAATTTCAAACAGACTAGAACTTCGACAGATTTTTCACTTTACTAGAGAAGGAAAAGCGTACACACGTAGAGGCGTAGGCAAACCCTACGTCCTTACGTCACCATTTTTCTATATCTCCACGAAAAAGAACCATCAATAGTCGCCGGAGCTTGTGGCTGGACACTGAACGTGGTCTGATGACTTACTGTCATGCCCACCCATCCTATGCTTTTACGTCATTAAGCTTTCATTTCTTTACGCTTTTACGTCTTTATCCTTTGTCTTTTTGACATTTTTCAATGGAAAGTCGACAGGCTTTCGACAGTGTCAAACTTCAAGTGAAAACATTCGACACTGTCGAGTTTTGAGAGAAAAATCTGTCGACTTTTTAGTCTGTCGACAACAGTTTCTGTCGAACTGCGAAATTACCTTTCTAGTCTAAGAAAGCCGGTAACGTATATAAAATGTGCGCTTCGATCATGTATGATTCTGGCGTACTTGATGATAAAATCTGTTTACGCAGAAAATTCTCGTTCGCACTATTGAATAGTGCATGTATAAGGAAAGAAAAATACACTGGAGAGATGTGACAATACTTTGTTGCAAATCGCTTTGTTTATTACCAAGTAATGATCAAAAGAAAAAATGGCATACATTCACTGGGAATTTTTAAAAATTTTAATTTTTATGACATCTGACAAATATTTCTCGATTTCATATTTGTGATGCAATGCTGACACGTTTAGAACGCGTACTTTATCGACACTTCTTTCTAGTGAGTCAAAAGGGACGTGTTTCAAAGGAAAGGTGCAATAACACAGAATCAGAAAAAATGTCTGCCCCTCCTACTTCTTCAATTTACTTACATGCACATATATATATATATATAAAACACAACGAAAAGCATTATTTCTTATCGAAATGGCGTCGCTTATATTCTACGGTATTAAGGTAACAAAAGATTTAGATCTTGACTATGTGCAAAACCTGATTAGCCAACGGTATGTCGGTTGTGTCAGCGTCGACTACATCTCTGACAATCACGGATTTACGATTACTGATGCCCTTCAAGCGAATTTCAACTCGCTGAGAGTCGTCAACGAGATTTTGAAACAAAAGATCATCAGGATCGGTGAGCACAGATTCGATGTTCACGCCCAAAATGAGCCTCGTCCACCACCACCACCACCGAAGAAGGAACAAAGAGTTGCGTCTCAGCAGCATCAAGAAGAAATTATATGCTGGGGATGCGGACAGTCTGGACACAGAAAAGCGCAATGTCTTCAAAATGCCGAGAAAACTTACCATTATATTCCCAGAAGTAATAATCATCCGATTACTCGTAAAGCACTCATCTCCCAATGGTCAGCGTCATCCAGTCAGGCAAACCCAACTATACAAGAACAAAATGTGTCTCTGCCACCAGGATCAAAACCAGCTACGAACGGCGCTCAGCAACCTCCAAAAGCCTAAAAAATCGGTTCCGCCATTTAGCGAAAGTAAAACGAATAGTTTCTGAGAAAAGGAAGGCCAAAATGGAAGCAAGAAAGATGACAATTTGTGGATTAAAGAAAGCAAAACCAACAGTAAATGTCGTACGATGACTAAGTACTAATTTTTTGCTTGTAGTATTTAATCAAATCCGATAGTTTTCTATCTTTTTTATGATAATTTTGGATAATAAATTACTTGGCTAAAGTACTCAAGGTGGATCAAACATTTAGCGCGGCTTGGTACAATAAGACCGCAAACATGAAATTCATAAACTAAAACACTGCTTTTTCCGTGTGTTTTACGTTGGAAACGAACTTGTTGACCATATCAGTGCTTCCATATTTCTTGCACGTTAAACGTCCTTCGGTTGAGCACACGGACAAAAGTTTGAAGAAAACATTATTATACATACCCCCATTATTTGCATACTAATCATCTCACAGTTGATTCGCTTGTGACACCTTCTGAATTCATTGTTCTAGCGAGAAAAGTGGTGAGCGAATTATTGTCTTTTATGACAGATCAAATCTTCTTAACCATAACAGTCACACTCGAGAGAAAAGGGCGGTCGTCTATGGTGCATACTGTCAGGCTGTCAGTGAAAGTCACATAACCTTCCATCGAAATATCCTATAAACCAGTTCAATATCCCATTTCAACCAAAAAAACTTGGTCTACTAAGTGACACATTCGAAAGAGAATTTAAAACTTTGAGAAATTGTTAAATCTTATTTCACTGTGCCGTTGCAGAACCATCAAGATCTTAAAACACGTCATTAGCACATAGTTAAATTTGCAAACAAATGTGACCGTTTCGTGGTGTGTGAGCCTATTCTTGAAAGATTATTAATAGTTCGTTTTGAAATCAAACAATACATATTACATATTACTATAATACTACTTGTCAACACTTTTTCCTTTTAAATATCTCAATGAGTAAGGCTCGCATTATAGCAGCACAAATTAATCTACAATATCTGCTAATTGATACTAAACAAATTTAAATTATATTGTAAATAAAACACCTATAGTCAAGCATAGCACATCATAGACAGAATACAACACCATTAAGCACTATGATCATTCTACTCGTCATTCATTCATATATAGAAAAACTTAGATGGACACAAAATGAGAAAGGATCTGAAGTGCTAAGATTTTGAGTTGTATTTCTAATAAGAGAGAATGGGAAGGAACCAGCAGGTTTATCTATTTCATGAGAGACTACGACTTCTCGTTTTCTGAACTTGATCAGACTTACTTATACCATGTTTTCGAAGCGGAGCTCTAGTAAAACATGGTGTAGTTAACTATGAAAAAAAGATGCAGAAACGTTGTAAAGCGCTCAGATTACGCGTGACCTGTCCTGTTCTGGAAAATAGGACCGATTCAATGTATACAAATTTTACAGGGTAGATTGCAGGTTACATTATCCGTAACGAACTTTGAATCTGCAAAAGAAACACGTTGAGCATAACCTGCAAATGTTAGGAAATAAGATTAATTAGCTATTAGAATCTATTGAACCATTTTCACTATCTCCTTTAGTTTTCTAGAAGAACCTGCTAGAATAAATCGGTATATGACACATAAATTGAGTTGAACTACTTTTCTGAGAAGATACTACTTAACCAACAGAACGTCTTTTTGAAAGATTATTTCTCCTATTTGGATAGCTCAACAAAATGCAACAAAATCCTTGAACACTTCACTACCAAATTAATTGATAGGCATTTATTTGTATACGTATATATGGTTAAGAGCATAATTCTTTATATTATTTCTTAATTCAAAACACTACTTTAAAAAGAATGTTACAATTTATGTTTATCTTCTCTTTCGAAATTATCCCAGGCAGAAAAAAATGGGCTGTAATAAAGGTAATGTAAATCTGTAATAAAGGAAGTAGAAAACTGACGATCTAAAACTGAAAAAGAACGAAAAGACGATGATATCTCTTCGATATTTTGATTGTGTTTCTCAACCGTTAAAAATGGAATAAAAACGCGTGCCCGTTCTCACGCGTGAATGAGAGATGGGCGAGTACACACTTTTTCGAGTACGAGTATTTCGTGGCAAGTACGAGTATGAGTACGAGTATACGAAAATTTTACTCGATTATGTACTCGAGTACACGTTTTACAAAAAGAGAAAATAGTCCTTCCGGTTTTGTGACGAGTTATATCGATCAATTCCGTTCTCTGATTCAGTCAAGCATAATGTTGACGAGCAAAATTTTGCTCGATGTGGACGCATTATGAATCCACTTTGAGAGAAGATTCTCTGATTGATGCTGACGTTGTAGGGCTTGTAAAATATTTGAGGGCTAATTTAGCTAAACTTGGAAACAACCGTTGTTTAATTAATATAAGATTACTGTCCATTGCATCTTCTTTTAGGAAACTATCCAACTCTTCTAAAATAGCCTAACTTGTACTTAACATTCTTTTTGACGGATTTGTCAGATATGGGAACAGTTTTGAAATTTTTCGCTTAGTACTGACTGGAGAATGGATATCGGCCACTTGTTGTTCTACCGACTTGTTTTCTCTTCCACTGTTCTTTGGTAAAACTTGACTATCCGCTAAGTTAATGAATGTTCATATTTTTTCTATAACGGTCTTTTTAACATCATCCGTTAAGTCAATAGCATTTAACCAATGCATCTCAAAACAAGCATCTAATATAGGCGCGACAAGAAATATAAGATCGGAAAATCGTTCCGACATTGAATGTTGATTAGTTGGAGCATCAATCTTAAAGTGTATCAATAGTCCACTAGATCTTTCTTTCATTAATGTTAACAAACTTTCTATCAACTTGTCCAAACAGACACATTTTTGAATATCCAGAGAATGAAAAATTGATAACACTTGGAGCAACGCAACTAATAGTAGCATGATTTTCTCCTTGTGTATTCATAGTTACTTCTTCAAACAGTTCTAGTAATTGAATAAATTCACTTAATACTTGTCTATCAGTGGAAGTCAGAATCATTTCACTTCTGTTCAAATCCTAAACCATTCAAATATAACATATAAATTAAATGAAACTGAACATGGTACTCAGGGTGGAATGAGATAGCATCATTAATCAATACTCACATTCAGGGTTGGATTTGGTTCCGATTGTGGTACGCTATAAACAGCTTTGACCGTATGAAACTGAGAACTCCATCTATATCGGCGCTAAAATACAAGAGCAGTGGTTGTTTCTTGAATAGCTCTGTCACCTTGATAGATAGAGACCTGCGATTTTCAGTTTTGAAAACTAGAAACAGAAAGAGCTAAATCTTGATCAGGCAGATCAGCTACAATGTTATCTGTGTCAATGACTCCAGATGTTTCACATTCATTATCAATATCCTCCTCATCTTTACTATTCACCTCCATTTCCTCGCCTTCTTCACCGTTCCTATCCTGCCTATCTGTGGTTGTTACTGTTATTATTGTTAATGTGAATTTATGATCATTTTCAGTGTCACTCTCATCAAGATCACTATTATTGTTAAAATAATTATCGAAATCGGGTAACCGTAGATTATCAAATGCGGCCACATTATTACTTGCATTATCCGTCACGATTCTACCTAATTTATCCTCTAATTCATAAAACTTTACAACTATGAAATTCGCTCAAAATATTGACTGTCGTGTGTCTTCCTTTTAATCGTTCAAATGATAACAGATATGAATGCAATTCGTTCTGACTGAATAATGTTATGCATCGTGACTTCTAAGTAACTACGCAATCCACGATCCGACCATAGATTCATTGTTAAACTGACAGATTTTGCATTGGTACACAATTGTTTTAGCCTTTTTATGATTTTTTCATTCATTTCTAGCGAGAAAATAGGAAAATAGTTCAACATAGTTTAAAATAGACCTTTTTAAATACGCTCTTGTCTTCTACACTAGGCGGTAAGCTTTCGTACGATGATAGGAGAATATACTGTAAGCTTATCTGCTTTTGAAAGAAAGAAGTTGGAAAATTTCATTTTTTATCATCTAAGCTACATTTTCACTTAATTGCGGATTTTCTAACAATATTTTTTGATTCAGTTTATAAAATGAACCTTTTAAACTTGGTCTTTCTGTAAAAAAATGTTTATTATTCGTATACTTCTTTCTTTTTCACTTCTTTGAGAATTTCTCGAGTAAAAAAGTTTTTTTAATAATAGCAGCCCATAAATCTTTTTTCGAGCTGCACGTTGAGAAGAGAATTTTCAAAAACATTTTACTTTTTAAATTAAATGCTAACGATTTTGATTCGAAAAATCACACAAATTCTAACATTTTTCCACTAGAAAATTAATCAAAACTTAATTCAAAGGATATCGCCAAACGTGAGAAACTGCATTTTCAAGGTAATATTCCAATAACAAAACGTATCACTTTACGCCTATCCAAAAAGATTTTCTATGAGTTGCCGTATATATTGCAGTTGCCTTTTTCAACTACTCAACGTTTGTTTAAAATTTTTCCAAGATGACATATTCAAAGAGAATTAAATTCCACTTACAAACCACACTGGAATTAAAAACAGCGTAAGCCACACATTCTTTTTTGAGAATATAGCTTGGACTTCGGGCTATTAAACGGTAAGAAATGAGTTTTTCTAATGTATTTTCTTTAAAGGAAATAAGCTTAAAATGAAATCGTGGCGTTATACCAATCGTACTTCTGCCAATGGTATAAGTGTGTCGATTTTATGCCAATAGATTTAAAAAAAAATTTTACACTAATGTTGGCAAAAACACTGATTTTTTATACCAATATTGGTATATAAAACAGGAGTTATACAATTGGCATAAAAATCCGTTTTCTTACACCAATCTAATCAGTTCAGCAGCAAGTGAACTGTTTTTTTCTAAATATTGTAAAATATTTGATATATTGTACTGCATCAATTTTTCACTGCATGAAGTTGGAACAACAGGAAACATTCACATATACCGAGATGACTTCAGACAGGATGATATTTTTCCAAAATAAAAATTTGCTACTGACTGAGCTTACCTATTGTTTTTTCAGTTGCAAATTTCTCCATTTTAGAGTCCACATTTAATAATTTCTATAATCGTTCACGTAACGAATTAGCATGTTGACACGCAGTGCTGCAAGAAAAAATGGCACGAACATAAAGAATACTACGTCTGATTTAGTTGATGCTACGGGATCATCAGAAAATGTAATGGCTCCACAACTAAATAACTTAAATCTGTGCCGTGTTCTACTTCAAATGCAATGCAACTTACTTTGTTTTTGAAATTGTTTAGTGTTTTTGTTTGTTGCATGAAGAATAGTTTAATTGACTTTACTGTTTTTTTCTTCATTTTACATCAGAGAGCAGCAGAACTCACTTGGTAATATGACATATGTTGTAAAAATTTAAGAACCACTGCAGCTATCATGTTAGAATTTTTATTAAGATTCTTAACATAATAGCCGCAATGGTTCTTAAATTTTTATTTTTAATCTGGCCCATAAGCTTAAAAAACGTTATTGACACGTGTTATATTTCGTCGACTGATGCACTTGTATTTTTTATCAACAAGATGCATGAATCTTTTAAATGAATTTCATTCAATTAATGACAGTGATAGCCCCAAATCCACGATAAAATGTTCACAATTTCGATTGACTCTTTTTGCCGAGAATTTGTCGGCGTATATTTCTCATTTTATTCCAGCATAATAAGTATTTTTTCTGTTGCTAATCCGGATATCTTTTTAATTTCTTTTTTCTTCTTCTATGTTTGTGTATTTGACTTTCTTAGTTAGAGTAAATTACGACAATTGCCTGATATTGCTGTTTATGATGAATGCTTAGTATTGTTGTTATTATTATGCTTATTATTAGTGGCTGATAATAATGAATCTGTTGTTGGAATTAATAAATGATTTAATTTAGAATTTGATGTAACATTGTGAGGCTGTTGATGATGACGTATCTGATGGCGTAAAAGACATGACATCAAATTTAGATTGAATATGCTTGGTTTTTCCTGAACGATGACGTTTCTTTTTGTTAGAATTTGCATCAGATGAATTTTGATCAACTGTAGAGAATGATAGATCGAATAAGTTGCTGGATAATGATGCTGAAAGTTGTTTATTTTGTTGTTTACCTTTATTATTATACAATGTATTGTTATGTTGACGGAGATTGTGAATGACTGAAATAAGATTATCGATGTGCTGCTCTTGCTGAATCAGTCGTTCATTTAATAAATTAACGCTGGTGAAGGGAGTGCAGCATCTTTCTTATTCTCATCATCAATTTGTTGGCGTAAAATTTCAATCAATTTTGTTTTATCATCAATATATAGGTCTTTATGGCGTTAAATTGTCTTGTTTCTTTTTTTCTGTTTAAAAATATCGCTATTGCTAAATATAAACTGTTCAACAATTTCATCAAGTATACGTAACATAATATGATTTTTAAAATAACTGATGAACGAAAAACAAGGTGACAGAGAAGTATTACAACTTAAAACAATAAGAGACTATTGGCAGAAATATCTTCGACCTCTTAATAATGTGAAATAATGCAAACAATGAAACTATAGGGAATATAAAAGAGTTTAGGAGTTCTCAGCAAGAACGGGTTTAGTTGTGAATTTAGTAATTTACCTCAAGTCGTTTCCGTATGGTATAGTTTCATTTTCTTAAACCTACTTAAAGGATTTAGGAGAGAGTCTCGGAGATCTACTTGTTGGTACAACTCCCGAAGCTAAAACAACTTACAAGTCATGGACTATTTCTGAAGTCTATTTAAAATGAAAATTACGTATTGCTATTTCTAGCGAATAAACATCCTCATTAGGAACTTTAGGATGAAACTGATACAACTATTTGGTGTATTTATAATGCTAAATTGTATTAATGCCTGGCGATATATAGCATGGTAGACATTCTACAGGTTACATTGCACGTATAGCCATATGTAATAAATAAGAAAAAAATAATTTTTCATTTAAAATAATATCTGATATCTCAGTTCTAGGTACAGGACACAAAAACTTTAAATTTTTACGATTAAATCATGAGGTTACAAGGAAGGTGCTTGTTAGTAATAATCATTATACTTTTCAATTATTCCACCAGATGCTGAAAACTTTATACAGTAGTTACTCTAACACTACTTATAGACGTCTTTCAATCTTATTGGTTTTTTAGTTGTTTTGTTCTATTGAGTTCATTATCTTTAATTGATCCAGATAACGCTGTTTTTTAGTCTTTCATTCATTTTTCTCATGGAGTCTCGCTTAAAAAGTAAGGTTTATTCCAATATGGAAAAAAGCCTGCTAAAAGTAATCTGCAGTGGTATTTGTATTATTGTACAATTCATGAAATTTGTCGTCTAGTTTCTTCTTCTTTCTATTTGGTGAAGTTTCTTCCTTTTCCTTGTCATCATTGCTAACTTCCAATGCCGTTGGACATGTTCGTTTTGCCACGAAATTGATCATCGGTATGACAAGTAATTTGAAGCATAGAAAAATGATACCGAATATTTCCAAGCAGACGATGGTAAAAAGGAGACAATAGAAAATGATGTCGGCTTCCTTTGCAATTGGCTGTTGAACGTTTTTGATGAAAAATGCTGTTTCACTCACGGTGAGTGTCAACGTTGTTTGTGTCAAATTTGAATAACGAAAATAATCGTTGTAGGTCAAAAACATTTCATTCAGATTCACTTGAAACGTTGGAATCCAAAGAGCGCTATATTCTTCTTCACCGGAATCCGAGAGTGGTTCGGTTCGATTGATGACTTTTGTCAGCTGAAGGCTAATGGCGAGTGTTTGTGCCAGTGTGCTTGCCGGTACACTGAACGGTTCATAGAATTGCAGTTGTTGCATTGAATAGCTGCCAATTTCCAGTTCGTCTCCAGACATACCAACTCTCAGACCGCCAATTGGTGAAATGCTATTCAAAATAATTTGAACAGTGATACCTTGATAGGGCAGCACGAATGCAATCGATAGAATAGAACCTTCGTTCGAACATGCCGCCAAGTCGATTTCACTTTGACCAAAACCCTTCAGCAGTTCGACTGCAACATTCGTACACGGAATTTGAGTATTAACAAAATCAATGTGAACAGTGAATTGTTGATTGTTCAAAATGTTGAACATGTTTTGCTCGTCGGTGGTCACCGGGACAGCCAGGGACTGAAGACTCGTGGTAAATTTTGCATTTCGTATCGTTGGATCACAGGCAAAGTTCGAATTTGTTGTAAGACGTTCGATTGGGTATCGATGTAAATATAAGTTACTAAACGCATACGCGAAACAAACGAGAACCATAATAGAAAAGGAAGCCAAGCCGCCTACCCAAAATTCGCCTTCGCCGACCAAATCGGTTTGTCGAAAAACTCGCCGTATCCCGCGTTGCCATTTTTTACTTCTCGGATCTTTTGGCAAGAAAAATTTTAGTACACACATGAAAGTTATGATAACTAGTGCCATAACACTGACAATCAATGCCCAGAACAATGGTGAGATAATAAGACAGTGAGTGCCCCAGTGAGGTCCCGTTTGTCCGATTGTGAACATATTTTGCAGGAGAATGTCGTCGAATTGTGTCGATTCCGGCGAGTCGGGATAGGTTTGAGCTTGTGATACATGTGCAAGTGCTGTTTCGTTGACTTCAGCGACGGCACCCAGTGGGCAAAATAATGTCGACGAAGAACATACCGAACATAGTGTGGTATCATTGCCGGTATTTTTCGTACCTTGTGGACACAAAATACAAGGATCGACACCGGAATGACTAGAATAAGTGCCTGGCATACACACGGCAGGCATACTGAACACTGGTGATGTAGAACTTTGATTTAGAAATGGAGAATAACCGGGTGAAGTTGGTAACAGAATGAGAATGTTGCCAATTTGGTCGAGTACAATGAGAGCACCGGTGGGTGTGGATACAATATTTAACAATACGGAACTAAACGAATCGGGCAATGAAGCTTGTATATTGGGAAACAGTGATATTTCACTGTTGATCGTTCCATTGTTAATTTCATAAAAGTAGACATTGGACGAAATCCATGTTTGCGAATCGAATGTGTATTTATTCGTGAGAACAGCTGCAATCGAATCGTTCAACCAAGCAACACCCTTTCCGTAGCCATAGTATCGTAGCCCATTGTCTCGGCTACTCAATTGTGTCAGTTGGTTATTAACGCTGACCGAAAGAAGAAAAATTTTATTGATGGCATGTATGCCGACAAGTATTTGTCCTGTTGCGTCGTTGATATCAAGTGACATTTTATAAGAATGCGTGCTTCGATACTGCTGTGTTTGATCGACGTATGTCCAATTGCTAATTATTGTCAGTGGTGGTTTGTTCGATTGATTCCAACTGAAAAGGTAAACAACTGGCGTATTCGTGCCATCAAGCAGACCATTGTCGGTGTAACCAGCGGCTACAATGAAACTTGCATTCTGAACAACAATGGCTGTAGGCATAAAATGGGACGTCGTCCATGTCTCATTACTATTCCACAAGACGAATGATGACGAATCGACCGAATAGACAAATATAAATTCTTCTGTTATGCCGAACGCATGCTGACCTCGTGGCTCAATACCGAGAACAAAATATTGCTGATGATAGTAAGCATCCGTTAGATAAGTGATTGAATACGTGTAGCCCACACAGTTTATCACACTGGTGGTGTTCAAAATACCGATGAATGTGCTGCCATTATCGTTCGATATGCCGTCGTCAATTTCACCGGCAAAAAAAACCGATGTCGCCGTTGGATGACGACCCACGGCCACCATGTAAATGTAGAGCGATTCGGCAACTTTATAAGTGGTGAAACACTGTTGATTCGTACTCGAGTTGTTGTGCGGTGCATAACTGATACGAAAATATTGTTGATTATAGTTCGCATCACTGTTTAACACTTCTACAATTAATTGATCATTACCGGCAATTTTCAAACCAAATGCATCATAATCGCTCGTATAAGAAGAAAAAGTATAACTATTTGTTGTATGAATAAATACAACAAATAAAGTCAATGCTTTTAGTATCAATAATCGATGAGAATAAGTAGACATGACTGTTACGTTTTAATTTGTCCCCTTCTCATCTGAATGAAATGGCGATAAATGAAAAAAACTGACTCAACCTATGTAGGTTGTTGTGATTCCATTAAGAAGTAATAAAAATCATATACAATTAAGAATCGTACGAAAAACACGACTTTTTTCCTTCTGCTCTTTTTCTCGCTTTAATGACCGTATTGCATCAACAAGTACATACTGCACATTTTAATAATAGAGAGACTAAGAGGAATGAAAAAAAGCAGAACTTTTACAACTTCATGACGTCCTTTTTACCAAAGAAAAATCAGATTTAATGTAGATTTACTATTTAATGAAGCCTGGCTGCGGCCATTATGAATCAAATACTAGATTTTTCCATATGTCGCCGCTATGCTACTCGAACTGTCGGGCACTTTTCTCTATAAAACTAAAGGTGATCCCTAATCATTCATACACCATTCGATGCGTCTTGAAAAGCTCTATAAGATGAGTTAATAGGAACCTTAACGAAGCCTGGCACCAAGTTTTATGAGTTTAATACTAGACTTTTCCACAGGTCGTGGCTATGCCAAGAAAACTTTTGTTTCACTTTTTTCTATCAAACTAAAGAGGATTTCTACTCATTCATACATAATTCGATGGGCCCCAAAACGCTCTACAACATGTGTTAATAGGAGACTTAATCAAGCTTGACAGTGATTTGGGGGTTTTAAATACTGCGCCGCTTAAGCCTGCAATCGATCCAAAATTGTGTACCACCTTTATTTTTGATTTGTCTCATCGACGATAACAGCTAGAACAAATCTGAAAAAAGATTTGAGTAGCTGAAAGAATTTTCGATCGTAATGTTGTCTTTTTGAATAAGCTCAAAGAACAAATGTACATCAGAGACTAATCGTCGGGATAACTTCTAGATATTAGAGGAATTGTTTTACTTAATAAAGTCAGATAGATCTGTTTCCTGTCTTCGTTTCTCGCAGCAGGCATAGAAATGTACCATGTGAAAAGTTCGACTATGAAGTCATTGTAAAAGTAAATATTGATGTGTCTGATGTTTGCAAGATTAAAAAAGTAAAATATCTAAAGTATCGTGTTTCTTAAAGAAGCCTGGTATAAAAGACAAGTAGTCTTCTCGATTGAAAGCACATTTTTTTCATTTCTTGGCAGTATTCTTACCAAAATCATGGTTTCTGCTAGTTTATTCTCAGCGTTACTTCTGGTCTCCATCATTCGAGAATCAGCAGCATTTTCCAGACCAATCGGAGCTACCGATGGGATCTATACTTTTACAGCCAATTCAACCAGCTACATGGGATCAGCAAATGTTACCAAACGTAATCGTCTCAGAGACACGGGTGTGCATTGTGAAACAAGCGTCTATTTTTCGACGGCTGATATGGATAAAGCAATTGAAGGCCTTGCTCAGTTTTTTGGCACTGGGAATTCCTTCTATGCACGCAGTGTTTCAAGTTATTATGGATCGGCTGTTGCATTCGGCTGTAATTATGGAAATGGACAACATATGGATGCCGAATTTTTCCGAAATGAACAAAATTTGATTAATACGAAATGTGGATCTGGTCGAGGTGGCTGGAATGGTCATGAAAGTTGGAAGTCATCGTATGGGCGGACATCAGCAGCGAAAAGTTTTTGTTAAATGAAACGGCTTTAGTTCATTATTTTTGTGAAATTTATCTGCTATCATCTGATCTTAATAAAAATTAACCTTTTTCAATAACTGCTGACTCTCGATTTGTGTTAAGCACCCTTATTCAAGAAAACTCAATTTGGATGAGCGATAACAGTACAATTATTTTTTATTATGTAATATATCTGGATTTTTGGAAACAGGACGTGGAGCATGTAACTGATTCTATTGAACGGATCTTGACGGAGCGGGGAATTTTGGGCAGGGAAATGTACGGAGTCTGTTGGGAGCCTGCTCGGCTTAAGTTTATTTACCTAAACATGATTCGTTAAACGTTTCTGGCCTTAAAATGTCGACTGCGGGCTATTACATCGAACGTTTCGCAGGTTTGTCTCATACAGGTAAAAAGAGATAGAGTAGTGATAAAATTGATGTAATATCCTTTTCTGAAAACGAGGTGGCTCGGCAGACTGTTTATCACATTTGAACAAAAAGTGATAGACGCATGCGATTTTCATCGTTAGATAGAGAACATCAGGGGACATAAGCATATGCAAAAAACTAGGCTTCCAGACAAGGTTTACCATGGTAAGCCTTTCGGTGCAACCGAAAGTCTACGAGGCCACCGTTCCCTGACCGTATAATGGATTTTGATTTTTAAACTGTGCAATCCTACCTGTATGTTGCGTATAGAGCGAATATTTCGAAAATCTTGATATAGTGACTTTAGGTCGATTTGAAGCTAAAAGTAAACATCACCACTCGACTCAGCGTAGCCGGTTACCCCTATCTTGACCCATTTTAGGATCATTCAAGGTCAACTAGCCAAGATCGGGACTCTCGGAAAAATGAACCACCTCCTTTAACCGAAATCATTTCTTCAACTTTTGATTCACAATTTACCTCATCGTTATCTGTTTTCTTTCTCGTTGTCATTACTTCCCTAAGTTCATTACAGTTTCTTCTTCTCTTCTTGCACCCACTATGAGTATCGTCGTTGCTCATTTTTCTTTAAACCAATAACAGATAATTTCGCTTCGTAAAATAAAATAAAGAGGAAAATAGAAAATAATATCTTTTTGATGAGATACACATGAATAATTTTCATTTTTAGTAAACATAAAACACAATAGTAGCAAATCGTTTCTAAGCGTAGTTCTAGCTGATTTTTATTGACTTGTCTTGATCATTATAGGGAGTTTCACCTTTTGATACCAAATACACCACCAATGACAAGGTTTTTTCCAGGTGTGTAAAAGTTTGTCTATGTTCGCCGGTGTGCAAATTTTGCCAGTGTGTTTCTGCCACACACCGTGCATTTCTATGCACAATTGCGAATCAAAGTGATATGCAAGTTCAGTATGTTTTGGGCACACATAATTTTTACAGTGTGGTCATTGACGGTTTTTCAACGATTTAAACCAGTTGTTGAGGAAGTTTTTTAGGAAATTTCTTCGAAGACGAGCAAAACCTTAACTGTCTGAGTAAAGACCTGAAATGCGACGCCTTTTTTCTCTTTTTATTTTCATAAAACTAAAAATTAAGCAAAAAAGTATATATTTTTACTGAGGGAAGAGATCATAGTTCTTGTTATATGAGGGAAACATATACGGATTCGTCTTTTCGAGATGGAGGACAGTTTTCATTGTTTGGCTGTTTTTTGTGCATTTTTCATCAGTTGTTCCCGTTGTTTTTCTAATTTTTTGATTTCTTCTTCAATACGTTTCTGTTCACGTTCAATATCATCGGATTTCTTTTCCAATTCAGTATGTTTTTTACGTAATTGAGTCAAAAGTTCTTCATTCTGTTTACGGAAATATACATTTTCCAAAGCTTGTTCACGTTCTGCAAATTTATCGTGAGCGGCGTTGATTGAGCCGGCTGATGGATCAGTTGACGACAATCTCGCAGGAACAACAAGTCGTGAAGCTTGCTTGATTAAAATATTTCCCGTTGTACGTAACATTTTCAGTTTTTGTGCAGCAAAAGCCGAAGTATGTTTGAAGTATGTCGTGTGTAGTGTAGTGCTGTATGTAGAATATTTAGACGTAAAACATGTGAGCAAGTAGTGTATGTGCTCGATAGAAAATTAATCAGTGTTCTCTTTCCACTATCTCACGTTGTTTCTTTCTTTTCCTCTATCATGGTAACAGAAAGAAAAATCATAGTGAAAAAAAATGTCATTCGGGTCATTCACTTTAATCTTTCAAAGAAAAACGCACTCCACGCATTTTACGATGAGAATATATCCTCCTGGTCAAAATAAGAAGAACACCTAATTTTTTCAATTCATTCTTCAAACTATCGTCGTTTAGTCTCATAAGTATATCACACGTGCATATCTTGATACTCAATCTACTCTACAAGTTGCAGCTTAGAAGTAAAGCTTAGAAGTTTTAAATTTTTCAAACACTAGAGTATTTGCATGCACGTATGTATGGTTTTAAGCAATACTTGAACTAAAAGTTTCTGATTCCATCAAAACTAATCGAATAGTTATAAAAGTAACTTGATATGCTCAATCAGATAAGAAAGAATTGCTTTGAATGTATGATTTTATAGAAAAAGTTTCGAAGATACACTTGACGCAATTGGTTCGAAATGAAACTTACGATTTCTCTGATTTTTTTATCGGCTTATCAAACTAACGGTCTCCTTTTTTCCACTCTTTTTCAAGCAACTACGGGAATAAAGTTAGAAAATAATCTAAAATTGCAACTAGATGATTAAGTAGATTAAACATTTCTCTACAAAATGAAAAGTGTCTCGGGCTCTACTCGTTGATTCGTTATGAAAATACAGCTATGGTAAACAGCGCCAAAAATCGGTTTTGGAGCTACCTGAAAAACGTGTCTAAACAACAAATATACCAGTTTGTAGGAAATTGTTTGCTCTGCAAGATGTGATAGCTTTTTAAGTTCGAAACTATTTTAATTAATTTGTATTAATCAAAGAAAAACTGTGACGCTGTGACACTTTTGACCGTTTTTTGTCACAGCGTCACAGTTTTTCTGGTTTTTCTTTGATTAATACAGATTAATTAGAATAATTTTGAACTTAAAAAGCTATCATATCTTGTAGAGTAAACAATTTTCTACAAACTCGTATACTTCTTCAAAAGAATGAAGACGAGCTGGCAAAATTTGAACATGTTTTTCAGATAGCTCCAAAATCGATTTTTGAGGCTGTTTGTACAACAGCTGTATTTTCATAACGAATCAACGTTCAGAGCAGAGACACTTTGCATTTTGTAAATGTTTAATCTACTTAATTATCTAGTTTTTAGATTATTGTTTAACTTTATTCCAATAGTTGCTTGAAAAAGAGTGAAAAAAAGAAACCGTTACCTGAACAATCTGTTATCTGGTTTTTTTATCTAATAGAATTCTCTAAAACTGTACCTAGACTTATTTAAAACAGAAATCTGGGTATCATATGCCATAATTATTTCTTAAATCAAATAACACCGATGTTCCCGATAGAAATAGATCCGATATGAGATAATTGTAAATCACAAGAGATAGAGGTTCGTAAACAATCATTGTTATATCATCAATATAAGGTAAGAAAAAGAATCGATCCTACGAATGCATAAACTAAGTCATTTGATATTAAAGTAATCAGAATGTAACTTATAATATACAAATTATGTATCATGTATTACAAAATGTTTACTATCAAATCCAGGACTCGATTACGAAACATTACATGAAAATGATCATGTAATGGATCGACTAATGTCAACAACATATGTTGTTCACTACGAACGTATAAACAGTATGATTAAAGAAATTAAAACCTAGAATAATTGATCAGAAATAATAACTCATAAACAGATAAACAATGCTTGCTATACTGTAAAACAGAGAAATCTGTAGTTTATTAACATACTATTAAAAACGAAAAATACACATAGATGAAGATTTTTTAACGAATATTGGAGTCCTTGTAATTGCTAATGGTCGTACATCTGCAACTATTTCTGTTTTCTTTTTGCTATAATAGCATGTATTTCTTTTTTTGAAATGTTTTTCTTTCTATACTCTAGTTCTTCAGCTGATAAAGCATTCTACTTTTTCTTTTAATAATCAGGATGCTTTTTGTCTACTTTGCAACCTGTTCCATTCTGTATTAATAACAAGGGGGTAAAAGCACCACTTCACCACTTCATTCCACTTCGCTTCACTTCACTGCTGAAACGGCGCCCCTGATAGGGGAGGGAAGCAAGGGAGGGAAAGTACCATTTTACCACTTCTGCTTAACTTGAAGTGAAATTGAAGTGATTTTTTATTGTTTCGACCGTTTTACCTAGGTGAAGTGAAGTGAAATTAAGTGGTGAAGTGGTGCTTTTACCTCCTTGATTAATAATGTTACGTTTCAGTCCGATGGTTTACGATATAAACAAAAAGATGGTCTTCCCACGCGTTTACCTCTTTCACAAGTTATTTACGAGAACTTTAGATAATACGAACTAAATAACGAATATTTATCAAAACTGTATGACGATGCCACATATTTTTTTCGACATAAAAGTATATAACCATTCCGTTGATACATATTAGGAGAAAATTTTTCATTTTATCTAGTAAACCTATCGATATTCAAATGACTATCGATATATCTATTGTGTTCGAACCACCTTTCTATTTTACATGTATAAGAAGAGGAAAAAAGATTGTATTAAACAGTAAAAGAACAAAGAAGAGGTAAGAATATTGCCAAATGAAAAAAATGTGCTTTCAATCGAGAAGACTATTTGTCTTTTATATCAGGCTTCTTTAAGAAACACGATACTTTAGATATTTTACCTTTTTTCATCTGTTACCTTTTTAATCTTGCAAACATCAGACACATTAATATTTGCTTTTACAATGACTTCATAGTCGAATTTTTCACATGGTACATTTCTATGCCTGCTGCGAGAAACGAAGATAGGAAACAGATCTATCTGACTTTATTAAGTAAAACAATTCCTCTAATATCTAGAAGTTATCCCGACGATTAGTCTCTGATGTACATTTGTTCTTTGAGCTTATTCACAGAAAAAGACAACATTACGAAAAAGTTCTGCGCCAGACTTCTGATCAGCGCTGTGGTTGATTATTAGTAACCAGATGTGTGATCATCTGTTAAGCTTCTAGACTGTGGGGAATATGTCAGTCTGTTGAAACGACCATTTACCGCACCCTACACCGATAATGGTAGCTGTAAGATGGAATATTCTTTTTGCTTCCACATATTATTCTAAAGGAGAAAATATCATTAAAAAAATACATAAAAACTGATTTTCGGAGGACTTAGTGTTAGAACATCACTTCGTAATGAGAATTCATTTCTTAGATCTAAACACTTGCATTCCTGCGTACCTTTGCACGGAAAATTCGATGGACGTGATCGAAAAATGCGAAGCTTCTCAGAATTATCTGTCTTTTCAATGCTTTTCTTATGCATTTGTGGAACCGTGGTTGTTCTTCACTAAAATACATATTTTCCTGTGAATCAACAACAAATAACTGACATCATCATTATCACTATTATAAGCCGTACATCATATATTATACGTCAGATATTATTTGTAGTCAATTTATTATACTAGTTTCGTCTTTTATCAGCCGATAGATCAGGAAAAGATGATGAAGATGCGACGTTTGTTGTTGCTGTTTCGCTAGCATCACCTGAAGGGTACTGTCTAGTCATATAGATGAACCAAAGATATATTACCTGCTTTTTCCCATGATCTTTTCCATGCTTCTGGCATAAAAAGATCTAGTTTTCGTAACTGAGATCTTTTGCATGTTTTGTCACATGAAAAAGATTAACTTAATAAATGAGCCTCTCCATATTTTGACTATAACTTTTTTTCTTTTCAGCGTTCAGACATAGGTTTTTTCCAAAAGATGCACCGTCATATTCTCTACAAAATTTGTGCTAAGTGCTTTATTCCAGAAAAGAAAAGTGAAAGGCTATATGAAAAACACCGAGAAACTTCAAAACCGCCAACTTTCCAACTGCTACGCCAAAACGATTAAACGCAAAAGAATTCTCCTGTAATTAGTTGTGCTGTATTCTAATTAAAGCTAGAAGATAGAGTTTTCAAGCGCTGCAAAATAACGAACTTAATTTTTTCGTGTCTTAAAAAGTCAAAGAATAAGACCGAATAAACTATTTTCTTGGTTAGAAAGCTGACGGTTTCGGAGTTTCCAGGTATTTTTCATGCAGTCGCTTACTTTTCTATTCTGGAATAAAACTAGGTCTAGAAACCTCGTAAGTGTTTCAAACACTTGCGAGGGTACCGTCCCCACTGATTCATCGCGATTTAACCAAACAATACTTTTTCACGGGTTATTTTTGATGTAGATCACGAATCTGATATTCATTTCGACCTCTATGGCTTTTCAGTATGGATCTCCAGAAACCAGATCTCTGAAGATCTATCCTGAATACTTAAACAAAGAGATTCTGATATGGCTGATTTGTAGAGGATGCCTATTTCTAAAGTACAATTTCCACCTACACTCCTTCAGACAGAGTGAGGGATGTTTATAGAGACATCATCGTGTTTTGTTCTTTTCCATTTCGACGAATTCTTCCATTTTAACGAACAAAATACATGAGAAGCTATCATTCAGCTCGTAAGTGAAACTACGAAGAATTTATCTTCATTAGCTCTCACGCTCTCTCTGATATTTGCTGTACATTTAGCTTGTATATTAGTTTCTAATAAGTCTACTTCAAAAAATGAAGAAAAGCATCGAATATTCATCTATTCTATGTTCAAAAGTTCAAAATATAGACCATCCGACTTATTTGGAGATGTCGATAAGTTTGGGATTATTTGAATCAATCGTATGATAAAAATTTCGTTTGGAATTGATGCAAATAGTTTTTGAGCGGTTGGAGTAATTCAAAAAAGCGAGAATTTTTTTCATCACTGTTTCGTTTCGTCTAAGGAACTATTATAAAAGT